GCTTGTGGTGGGGGGGGGGGGGGGGTGGTGATAGGGTTGCTGGAATTGTAGTGCTGACAATACACAGCTAGGAACTCCAGATACCTAAATGTCAGGTCATCTAGTGTAAGCTACTAACTATGAGGTGAGTGAACTGGAGTGGATCCTCAGCCGGGGGTCCAGTGCTGTGACGGAGCTCCATCCATCCATCCATCCATACATGCATTGCTTATACAAATCCCTTGCGCACCCTGTAGAGGTGCCGGGAACCAGAATGTGAGGTCACTCCGGTCCAGGCACCTCTACAGTACAGGGTATGTGAGGGAGGTGTAAGCAATGCAAGGATGGAGCTCCCTTATGGCCATAGCTCCAGCCCACCCCACTTCAAGCTGACACTCGACGCCAGGCAGCATATTCTGAATGTCTGCTCTGCATGAGAAGTGACATTGCTGTGCTAGGAGACTCTCGCCAGAAAAGTGGAAGGCACGCGACGACCCACTGAACACGGGGTCACAACCCACTTATAGGTCATGACCCACCAGTTGAGAGACAAAGGCCTTAGCTAATCCCGGTATCCAGCATCTGCCAAATACAGGAATCCTTTTTTTTTTTATGTGAAAAAGGTTTTTAAAGCTTAATACTTTTATTACAATGTTCTTCTTTTTTTTTTCTTTCTTTTTTCTTAGGTGTTACTACAGCACACTCAAGATAACACAGCAACGGAAGGCCTCATGCTTTGTGCAGATGTATATGAAACGGCTCTGAGAAGCTTTGCAAATGCAAGACTTTACCTTACCACTGAGTGTGAAGATGTTTTATTACTTCTTGAAAGGCTTGTATTGTAAGTAAAATCAATGTTTTCTATGTAACTCCTGTTTAGTTTATTATGGGTTTGTTATATGTGATAGATTCCTAATACATTAGTCCTTAACTTGGAACTGAACTCAAAGTGAAGATTTTTGTTATAGGGAATATCTAGAAATGTTAATTGTACCTAAAAAGTACCCTGAAAAAATCTATTTTTTCCACTTGAAAACTAGCAGTGCACATTCTTCTACGTGAGCATGCCTAGGCACTCCTGTGCCAACAGCCTCTTGGCTGTATATCTGCAGTGTGAGATCTTAAAGTGTATTTCTACTTTTACAGTCAAATTTGAGAAAACCCCTTTATGTTTGTGATCCTATTCACACAGCATTAAAAAAAAAAATAATTGTAAAAAAATATTTCTTACCTTTTTTAGATGTTTTTGTTAAAGTGGGTAAGATGGCCGATTTTTCAAATTTTTTCTCAGCACCTTCACAGTGATTTGTCCTAACGGAAAGGCTCAGGACTGAAATGTGAGGATTGTGTTTCTCTCATTCACTTAACATACAATGGACAAACCACTTTAGATCCCTCACCACTCTCAGCTTCTAACATTATAAAGAAAGATAAGCAAGTAGAGATTTTAACCCTTAAGAAGCCAAGAAGCCCTAACTCAAGTAATAGCAGTTTAAACTGCAAGAAGCTTTTTTTAAATATATTTTTTTAGATTATGCTATATGAATGGCAACATGTAACAAACATGAAATAGGTGTTACCCCAATTTGGCTGCAAAAGTGGAAATACACTTTAGTTTTGTGCCTCCAACTGCTAGACTTAGGTGATCTGAAGTGAGATTTGTTGATGTCATCAAGCCAAACCCTGCTTCTTCTAAAATGTCCACCTCCACACAGAACAAGGCAGGGTAAGTCAGTAATGGGGAAAGATCAGCTGCAGGGAGAACATAGGCAATACAGGTGACTAGTCCTTGACCCTGACTGCATTTTTGGGGCACAGCTTCCAAAGACCAGTTCCTCATGAACATGTATGTAAACACTAACCATTATTTGTTCCCTTTTGATCTGCTAACAAATATTTTTTAACATATTGTCATCTGCTCAAGGTGCAAAAACGTATTGATCTGTTCAGAAAAGTTGTGCTGACTTGTACACTCTATGCGGTGAGGGGTGGTGGGGGATTGCAGAGTTTAGGAAAAGGCAACTTGGCAAGGCTGACACTATTTCATAGTTTGGTTCTGGCAAAGGCACCGTTTTTTTTAGCCCACAACAGAAGTTAGGAGCTGTGTGCATTTAGGTAAACGCACAATAGCAGCCCGGGAGTGTGTTCAAGGACTATGTTGCCACCAATGTAAACCTTATGTCGGTGGCAGCAAGAAGGTTGCTCAGGGGCTGGAAATGTATAATATGGAAATTCTGACTTCTTGATAAGCTGAGCGTTGTCCTGCTCTAATTTTATTTTGTCTATTTGTTTTTTATTTATTTTTACCAGGAGTTGCTTTGAAGTAGTACTTTCAATGTCTGAGGATGATCTTTCAAGTGATCTGGGGGAGCGGATGAAAAAATCGATAATTGTGAGTCACGTATACATCTCTTTTAAAGCTGGACTCCAGGCAAACGGCTAAATATAATGAGGAAATACATATGTAAGAGCTGTTTACCTGCAAAAGGATTTGTATTTTCCTCTATCCATTCATGGGATTTATACAGCTCTGCAACACAGCTCAGCCCTGCCAATTTTATTTTCCTGCTGCAGTTCGTTAACACTTAGGCTGGGTTCACACCTGGGAGTACGGAATAAGCGTGTTTCGCCCAGGTGGCAATTATTGGTTTTCACATGTTGAGCGTTTTACAGCGCGTAGGAACGCGATGTAAAACGCCCAGGTATGAACCAGGCCTTAAAGGTCTTGTTCCTCCACCAGTCTGTGAAGGGGGAAGCAGCAGACTGCCAAGCTCATCTCTAATATTTCCTCCTATCATCATATTCCTTTCAATACAAAACAGATTTGACTACCTGTACTGCGTCTCCCTCTTTGTCAGAGCTCTGCTGTACAGGACTGGAAAAGGCTGCCATGTCAAATTCAGATATTTTCACTGCTTGCATATTAATAAATGCATTAAATGATGTATTGATGAATACAGAGCTGCTTTTATTTGTATCTTTTATACTTGCCAGTCCAATTTTTATGTTCATAGCTATATGAAAACCATTTGTTTTAATTTTGTTGTCTAATCTGTATTAGAAAGCTAGTGCCACAATCCTATTTGTTGTGGGCAGCACCGCAGCTCTTTCATACATGTACCTCTGTTCCATGTGAGTGAACGACTGTCTGTCTTACATTACTACATACAAAACCCTTTAACACAATGTTGTGCCAATCTTGATTCTAGGACTCCCATGAGATATTGTCTGAGTTTGGAAACAAACATTTGGAAATGTTGGTAGATAACATAAATTATGGCGGCGCATGGAAGAATCCTGTACTTGTCAAAATCTTGTCTCGGCACTCTGTTGATCCAGAAGAAGGTGAAGATAAATGTTTATACAGTTTAAAAATTTATATTGTTGTATTTAATATAAATGTAATCCAAAATTACATCTGTGATGAAATATGTAGGATGCCATTATGTTTTCAAATGCTATGTGCCGGATGTGTTGAGTTTCCATTCTTCTACATTAGACCTGGAACAAGTATGCATCAAGTAAAATTTAGACAGTCATAATTCTTAGCTCTACATTTGTTCCAGCTCTGTGACAAAGTTTTGAAGCCAAAACCCCATACATTTTTAGGAGTGGTTAGCACTGGAAGCCCAGATATTTTTCCTATAACCGGTTTCCTTTGGGGTTTGGAAGTCTAACTCCAGTCAAAACATCTTTAACCACTTGCCGTCCGCCCGTTGTAAAAAAACGGACGGACTGCACTGCAGCATTGGTGGGTTGCCGTCTCCAGACGGCATTTTTTTCTGCTCGCGTGCGCCCCCTAGCGGGCACGCATGGGCAGAAAAGACCCGACCAATGCAAACACCCGTTACCAGGTGTTTCACATATAGACGATCGGCGGCTCCATAGCCCGCCGATCGTCTATAAGTGCTCGTTTTTTGCCCCCCGACCCCTCACCTTCAATCCCGGGATCCGCTGCCCCATCTGAAAATAAAAAAACCCCCCAAAATGTTTAACTCCCCCACGTTTACGCAGATATAAACGTAAATACGCATCCGGTGCACCAGCACGCGAAAACGACAATTGCGCTACACACGATACATGTCGCCGTGAGAGCAATCATTTTAGGGCCATCAATCACTGATAATAACAATAAGTGCAAAAAAAAAAATATATAAATAAAAAATGAATAAAAGTAACATATAAAAAAGTAAAATAAAAGTCACATATAAAAAAAGTAAATAAAAAAACCCCCCAAAATGTTTAACTCCCCCACGTTTACGCAGATATAAACGTAAATACGCATCCGGTGCACCAGCACGCGAAAACGACAATTGCGCTACACACGATACATGTCGCCGTGAGAGCAATCATTTTAGGGCCATCAATCACTGATAACATTACTGATGAGCGGTAAAAGCTTGTAAAGCGTCGCCTATGGCCAATTTTGGGTATTATCGTTTTTTGAGGTTTCGCGCACGCAATTTTAAGACTTGACATGTTTGGTGTCTTTTTACCCGACGTGACCCCGTCTTTTATATTTTACCAAAAAATTGGGTAATAAAGTTTTATCATTTAATATAGGGGAAATAGTTTTTGTTTTTTTTAAATTTCGGTAATTTTTCCTTTAATATAGTAAAAAATAAAAACCCCAGTGGTGATTAATTGCCACCAAAAGAAAGCTTAATCTGTCCCAAAAAAATGGTATAAAATTAATTTCAGTACAGCGTTGCATGACGGAATAAATGTCAGTCAAAGTACCGCAGCGCTGAATACTGAAAAATGGCCTGGATGGGAAGGGGGTTTAACACCGCGGATGTCAACTGGTTAAAGGCGTTTGCCATCCATGGTCCTCACAATTTATTATCAAGTGCTTCCCAGTCATATACTTTGGAGGGGTGGGGGGGCTTCAGGGAAATATCAGGGATCTAAACAGATCTCTGCAATTTCCCTTTTGAAATAGAAAAAGAGATTGAGGACATAGTTATATTTTTACACATATTTACCAATCCTCTGCTCCGCCCGGCATTGCCCCGCTGTCCATCCGGACAGCGGCTCTGCTCCCCGTACGGCATCCTGAATGTAATTTTATATTGGAACAAACATCCTTTTGTTTGTAGAAGTTTCAGTGCTTCTGAACCCTAAATATTTTCACACTTATTTAATCTGCCATGTTAGTTGAACAGTGTTTAGCGGATGATGTGTTTCTTTCTGATTGCAGTATCTTTTAGGATGTGTCCACATGGGCCTTTAAAAAGCTAGCTGGCATTTGTGCAGATCTTAAAATCCTTTAGATGGTCACTATATTCTATCATGCAGCAGCAGAGCAAGTTAGTGCAACACTTCCTTACTTTGTTTTTTATTTGTTACTTAATTATTTATTACAGGTATTTATATAGCGCTGTCCATTTACGCAGCAATTTACATACTAGTCAAACACATCAGTCCGTGCTCTCCAGTAGCTTACAATCTAAGGTCCCTATTGCATGTACACGCATACTAGGGCCAATTTAGACAGGAGCCTACTAACTATTAACCTACCAGCATACCTATGACGTGTGGGAGGAAACAGGAGTACTTTCCATCTTTGCCTAGACTAAACTACTCTTCTTCATCAGAGTAACTGTAAGCTTTTTCTCTAGTTCTTAATATGAGCTTGGCATCATTAATGCTTTCTTTCTTTCTTTGTTTTCCTTTACCTCCAGACTATTTTTTTAATGCTCTTTATTTTGTTCTAGTAAAATTCTTTATTTGTATTTTTTTTACAGTTAACAAGTGGATGTGTCAAGAAGGCCTCAGCTTTCTGCAGTTGCGCATCAAGCATTTAATGAAGACAAATTGTATCCAGCAAGCAATGCTGCTGTCAAAAATATGTTCCAATTCTGAGGAGACTTCCAGTGACTTTTTTTTCCGCCAGTCATTTCTTACATGCTTGTGCACAATGTTACCAGATGATGAAGCTTTTAAAGAGGTACGAATGAGGATTCCAAAGCAGATCTGTATACTTTGTTAGGGTGGTACCAAATATTGTATCTGCTTTTGCTTTTCTCATTCCTTTGATTTGTCCATGTCATGTAAACAAAATGTGTACTTGCAAATCCAGACCTAAATCAATGGTAATTATCTACATCGCTTTTGGTGCTTCTGAATACACCTCTCTAGTCGCTGTCCAAAAGCCGCACATATAACTGCTTTCATAGGTCTATTTTAAAGGAGAACTATGGGGTCAGTGACCCAAAGCTCAGCATATCGCGAGCTACAGCTTGCGGTATACTGAGACCGCCGCTGCCGGGACGGATCCCGACATTATTGTCCAGATCCACATAGCTGTGGGATTGACATCTGGCTCTGCCTATCTAGAGGCAGAGCCAGCTTTTCCCACCCCCTCCCAATCCCTGCTGAGAGCCATGAGTGACAGTCACGGCTCTCTGCAGGGAGACGATCGAGAAGTGAGCGAGCGACGGTATGTGTTCGCTCACTTCCCGATCTATAGAACCGACCTGTGACAGTTTCATTGTCAGACGTCGGCTCGAACTATGAGTTCTCCTTTATGTGACCCTGGTAAAAGTATGCCCCAAAAGGTCTACCAAAATGCTGCGCTATTCAAGTCGATCCCTATCTAAAATCTTCTGAGAAACCAACACTTCTGGGAATGTCAATCTTCTTAGTCCATAGTAGATTTCGGTGGTTCTTCCTGCTGACCTTCATGTTGCTATAGGACTCGTGGTGACATGGGGGTCAGCAGGAGAAACAACTGCTCATTTTGGAGGACCTAGGAGATCAACACCCCCCTGAATTGTTTGTTTTGGTCAGCTGGGGATTTCACTTGATTGTCATAGCAGGCAGCGGGAGTAGTAAACTCACTCTTATACATGTAGACCTTTTTGGGGCATCATTTTATTTACTCACCAGTTTTCACCTCCATGAATTGCTGTGCAAAAAAAAACAGTTGGTCAGAAATTCAGAGCTGTCCCGTGTCTTCTGCATACTTCTGTCTTCTTCTTTTCTTTTTTTTTTAAGAGCCCTCCTAGTGAATATCTTGGACTGTAAAATGACTATGTTTTGGACCTGCTCACAAATTTAGATCGGATCAAAAGGTTCCGTACTTATATCTGCCGCCTGGCCTGATTCAATAGAGTATACTCTCACAGAGAGAAAATGAATTCACGCCAACTCCAATGTGTGTAAAATCACTTCTTTATTATTGTTTCGCACTGTTGTGTTTTATATAGGCAGCTGATAGTGTATATGTAAACATAGCGTTTGCGATAGCTTTCTAGGTAATAATTGGACTGATTCATTAACCCCTTCATGACTGAGCTAGTTTTTAGTTTCTGTTACTGAAAATGGGAGTGGTTGAGTAGTTTAGCAAAAGACAATCAACAGAGCTGTGTTGGTTGTGCTGCTTGTTCCTCCACAACAGGACTTAAATGTGTCTGATAGATCAACAGGTATTCTCTATCACCCGTTAAGGGGCACAACTTGATGGCAGGAGAGTTAGGGTTATATTGCCACCTACAGGAGAATGAACACTAGACACATGGAAAGCTCAACACCAGCCCCCCTTGAGGCTATACCCCCTACCTCCTCACATCTGCTATTTTAGTTAATATGCTTTGGAAAATGGATGTTCCTTCCCTTCTGCTCTAGTTCTTCACTGATTTGGAAGATATTTTTTTTTTCTACCATCATTGGCTACTGGTAGATTTAAGCCAGATATTGGAAATCTTGGAAGCATATCCAGTTAGCCAATGAGCACAGGTTTTCCCAGTTCATGACGTATACTCTGCAATAGTCCTGCAGTCAGAGGTGACACAGGGTCAGGCTCGTGTATCTGTGGATTCCTTGTCGTGGTATTGGTACCAGAGCTTTCGGTACTTGAAGAGCCTTTAAAGCAGCGGTCTCAAAGTCCTGGCCCGTGAGCCGGTACTATGTGGCCTGCAGCCAGGTGACAAGTCAGGTATGCGGTCACGGACCGCATACCTGACTTGCGAGAGCAGCTACATGGTCTGTATCTCTATCGGATGCAGACTGCAGACCGCAGAGCTGCTCCTCCCGACACTGAGATCCTTTCGGCCAGAGCTCAGTTCTGCGGCAGACCTCACTAATCACCACTAGAGCACCAGGGATCGATCTGCCTCCCTGCAAAAAGGTAACCATGAGAGGGGGGAACTATAGATATATTAGATAGATAGATATATCTATATGTATATGTGCAGGGGGTAGTATTTTTTTATGTGTACGGGGGAGTGTATTAGGCTACATTGACACCTGTAGGTGCAATTAGGAATTCCTGCATCAAGAACTTTTCTGCAGCAGGAATGCCTAATCTGGTGTTTACAAGTGACAGCTATCACCTATTCAAGTTAATGATCAGGTGATAGCCGCTGTAAACGCCTGCATACCGCATGTAAAGATATGTAATATGATTACATTTGGTTAGGAATCGATCACTCTTCCTGGACGCAATGATTGTGCATCCAGGGAGAGTGTTTGTTTTCTACCCGCATGTAATTGTCACATACCATTACATGCAGCGGCTATCACCTGATCATTACCTTGAATAGGTGACATCTGCCACTTGTAAACACCAGATTAGGCATTCCTGCTGCAGAAAACCGCAAATTCCTGACGCAGGAATCCCTAATTGCACCTAAACTTACAGATATGAATGGGGTCGTATTGGGGTCCGAAGTACCATACCGAATATAATTACATTTTATTTTGATGTACGATATTTGGCAAGCCGGCCCCCATGGTAGAAAAAAAATTGTCGAGTGGCCCCCGAGTCAAATGAGTTTGAGACTCCTGCTTTAAAGTGATAAACCATGGAGAAATATGCTTGTGTTGGACTTCATGGGGTTTTTTGTTTTTTTTGTTGCTTTGGAATGCTTTAATATTCAGTGATCACTTTAATTATAGCCTTGAATTACTGTTTTGTATGTTCATAGATTTCTAAGATGTCTGGACAAGATATATTGGATACTATTTGTAATCTGGAATCTGAAGGACAGATTAACACTGCGTTTATTCTGTGTACTACATACCTTACTCAGCAGCTGCAGAACGAAGATACCTCCTGCTCCTGGTAAGCAGTGATTTTCAAATATTACACTAAGAAAGCCTGCATATTAAAAAAGAAAAGCTGTATGATCCGTGTATAGACTGCAAAGAAAGAGCCTTTAAATATATAGTGCTTTGCATTAGTTTTACCCTGGTACTTTTTACACTTTTTGTATTGTTACTTTCTCTGCAACTGCATAACAAAATTCTTTGTTTACTTCTTGCTGCTGGCCAGCAGCTAGATTCCATGGTCCACAGCAGAATGAAAGCAGTGGGCGGGAGCAATAGCCAGACTATCGGCTATTTCAAATTGCAATAACCAATAGCAGGTTGGCTATTGCATCTGCCAACTGACCAGAGGAGCGGTCCTGAAAGAGAAAGTTCCCTCAAGTCTGATCCTCTGCTCAGTGCAATTTGAAATAGTCTGGCTATTGCTCCTGCCCACTGCCTGCTGTTTTTTGTTTTTTTCTACCTGTCAGCTTACCCACTTAAAGACCAGGTGTTTGCATCCCCTGACCAGGCCATTTTTCAGTAGTCAGAGCTGCAGTACTTTGACATTTATTCCGTCATGCAACGCTGTACTGAAATTAATTTTCATACCACAGAGATGTGGAATTTCTATCGCCTGACGCCCGGGACATGCAGTTTCGGGCGGCGGGCGAGTAGTTTTAAAGTACATTCAGCCCGGCTCCGGACAAGCAGAGCTGAATGTACATTGTGGAGCCGCCGCCGTTAGTTAAAAAAAATTCCACACCCCTGTACCATTTGTTGTGGACAGATAGAGGTGGTATTTATTCACCACTGCGGGTTTTATTTTTTACTATATTTAGGAAAAATTATCGAAAATTTAGAAGAAAATAGTTGTTTTTTTTACATTGCTGTAATACTTTTTATTATTACCCAATTTTGTGATAAAATCTAAAAGACGGGGTCACGTCGGGTAAATAGACACCAAACATGTCCAGCCTTAAAATTGCGCGCACCCGCAAAATCTGCTAAAAACTATCATACCCAAAATTGGCCATAGGCGACGCTTTAGAAGCTTTTACCGCTCATCAGTTTAGTGTTATCAGTAAATAATGGTCCTAGAATTATTGCTCTATTTTTTTTTTTTTACTTTTTCTTTTCACTTAACTTTATTGTTATCACATAGAAGGCTAAGAAGCCCCCCTATGTGATAAAGAGGATGTGACAGGTCTTTAAGACCCCTAATGTCACCTTGGGACCCCCAAAGAAGCTGATGAAGCTGAGATCTTCAGATGTTGCTCATGTGATTTTTTTTGGTGAAAGGGGGTACAGGCCTGCTTTAAAAGAGAACTATGGCCCAACCTTTTTTTGCGACACTTCTCTTTAGAGTCATAGGAGGACATGTACTAATGTCATCTAAGCAGGGGAGGGTGACTCTCTCTCTCTCTCTCTCCTTCTCTCTCTCTCTCCTTCTCTCTCTCTCTCCTTCTCTCTCTCCCCTTCTTGTAATTGGGAAGCATGTTAAATGTGTTGTGGATTAGTACTTTTTTTTTCTCTCCTTCTCCTTCTTGTAATTGGGAAGCATGTTAAATGTGTTGTGGATTAGTACTTTTTTTTTTTTATCACTCCTGTATTTGAATGAGTTTTCTGTCTTATAGGGAGCTGACTTTGTTTTGGAGTAAGCTTCAGCGAAGAATCGATTCCTGTGTAAATACTTTTCTTGAAAGATGTAGGCAGTTTGGTGTGATTGCTAAAACATGTCAGCATCTCTTCTTCCTTATTAAAGTTGTACATACAGAGGTAAGCGGAAAGTTATCCATTTGAAATTTGTTTAATAACTATGTAGAATAATTACAATTTAATTTTCTAAAATGTTATGTTATTTCCGACTCCTTTCATCCCTCAGTGACACATTTTTACAACTTTACTGGAACAAAACAAAGTACATGTATCAAGCAAATTGGCAACAAAATGAATGTCATTTGTATGATCGTATCAACAGCAGAAGGGGAACATCTCTCGCTGGATGAGAAGTGAGTGATCTAATGTAGCCAGGTAGTCTGTTATTGACAGTGTTATTAGTGTCAGTCACATGTATTCAGCGCCCCAGCAGTGTGCAAGAGTTAAGTAACTTGAGTTTCAGCAAAGATATGAAGTTGCTGAAACTTTTGTTCATCTCCTGCATGCTGCCGGAGCACTATTTACTTTTGACTGACACTGGTTACTTGTCAGTGACCAACAATTTGGTTACATCAAATCACTTTGTCATCTGGTGAGTGCTGTTCCCTTTCTGCTATTAGTACCATTGTACTATTTTAGTTCAATCTGAGTTTATTAAAATTTTTCAATATTCAACAAAAAGGCAAAGAGACAATATTGGCGGAAGCTAAAAAAAAAGGGGGAAAACGGGGCATACAAGACTAAGTGGTTTCAACCTGTTCCATATGCACCATTATACTATTTGTAGGTAATTTCAGATTACTGCAACATTGCAGATTCCTCTCACCATAATCTCTATAAGCATGTCCTAAGCTTCACACTACATTTATTTATAAACAGTCTGTGTGTTAGGAAAGTCTATGCACCAATTTGTATGTGTATTTGTGACACCTGTAATCTATCACTAGTGATGAGACATATATTTTCACATGTGCTTTGCATGCCATGTGCATAAAATACTGATTAAATTTTTCAAGGTAACCAGAACACAGCAGCAGTGCCAAGAGGTTAAAACAACCAAACCTTTATTGGTTGAGAAAAGTATAACTGCCTTTTTTTTACAGTTTTATCCTTCCATCAGTTAATATAAGGGGAAGGTTGGGAACACTGCACCTGCCATTTTCCTTCACCAGGTGTGTGCTGATCTGGCCGCACACTGCCGCGACTCTGCATATATACCAGAAAGGCCATATTTCTACAAAACACTGCACTTGGTCATCACTCCTGCCTACAAGACACTAGGCACCTCCACAGTAGTCAGTACTTCGGTTCATTCTCATGCACTGGCACATTATAGACGTGGAGAGGTATAGGTGATGGTGTGGTGCCTCACAGCATGCCATTGGTTCAGGGTATAGTTCTGCTAGCGGTTCAGAGTCACCTTGAGCACCCGGCTCTATTGCTGTCCAAAGAAGAGTTTGCCATTAACTATTGGAGTCCTCAGACCGCAGGGGGTGCAAGTGGGCCCCTCTCCTTTCCCTTCAGTCTCCCTCTGACCTTCCTCAGTGTGCTTCTTTGCTCCCTGAGGAGGATAATAAGAAAGAAACTGCTTCCAGTTCTGTGAAGCCCAGGAAGAGGACCTGTTTCCTGACATCTTTCAAACTCAAGGACACTATTTCTGCCCTTGTGGATGTGATGCGTGATTGTTTGTTGCCAAAACCTCTACATGCGCATTTTCATCTGGTGTATGTAAGGTCATTGGGATCACCCCAAAAAATGTACTCCTCCTAAATGGTTTACTAAGCAATACCCTATTAAATAGTGTTTCCTCAAAAAAATGGGCTGTCCCTGTCAGACTCCTTATTTGAACAAGATTTTAACATACCCTCTGGAGGAGGTCCCGGTTTCAAGTACCACATGGACAAGAGGTTAGAAGCCCTCTATTTGCTTTTGCAGGCCCTGCTATGCACCATGGCGGTGTGTCAGACCTCATCTGCGTGGTCAAAAGCTGTGGCTAGCGATTCTGGGTCTATCTTGAGAGACCCTGCCAATCTAAAATGTTTACAGCTCTTTCATGTTGTCGTCTTGCGGATACCCTTAGTCAAATCTTTGGATGGGTCTCCTGTCTGTACATAAGCATTTTAGCTATAGAACCTGTTGCATGCCTATGGTGCATTCTTGCAAGAAGCCCTTTGAGCTGGAGTTTCATTCCTGGCTGTACTGCTTACTAAGATCACCCTAAAGATCTTCTTGATGCCCTAGATTAGCTACATTCTCGGGCCTCATAGTCCCTCGATTTTAAGCTTCCTACTAGGCTCCTGCAAATCTGTGGGCCTTCCAGCATCAGACTTCGGTATCTCAAATCTGTAAGGTTGCCACCTGGTCACCTGTAACCACTTTTTTGCTAAGTTTTACCAGGTAGATGTTCAGGCCTCTGCAGGTGCTACCTTCCACCACAGGGTTCTTCAAGCAGCTTGATGAATTATTGGTCCTTTTAGTTATAGTTGGGGTTGGTGGTTTGTTGATTTCACAGGCCTGTTTGCTGTGTTGTTTGCCCCACTGTTGGACTGCTTTTGGTCATCCTATTGGTTCCAGAATTAACTACCTAAAAAAGTTATAATACACATAACCAATGCCTAAAAACAAGGTTTTGAAACCTCAACATGGCAATAGAGCAAAACATATTGCATGTTTCAGTGAATAAACATTTGATGAAGTTTGCCTAAAAGTATTTATTGATTTGCACTTTTTTTCCCCCCCACTGGAGCCATTTGGGGTGCAGTTGCTGTGCACAGTGCTATCAGTCCAACAATTTTAAAATGTTTGCATCAGAGAAGGACACGGATAGCTACATCAGAATTGAGTGCTCCCCTGTAGATGGACTTTAACTTGTAAATCGGCAGACTGAGATGGGTTCATGACCAAGCTATACTGCAAAAACTGGAAGTCAGGCCTCCTGGCTGTCTATGGGCAAGGATGCTTGTATTGCAAAATTAATTGAACAGAAGTAAATTCACAAACATAGCTTTCAGATTCTTTTATTTAGGTTTCCCTGTAATTCAATAACATTAAAAAAAATCGGTTTATTTCTTTAACTCCAAAAAAAAAAGTAAAGTGTGTGTGATTGGAGGAAGAAAAGTTATGTTACATAGTGTCACTAATGGGCATTTGCAGTTCCTTTCAAAACAAAAACTTTATTTTTCCTAGTTTGGGTTAGAGCTGGAAAGATTAGAATGTATCGGGGTTTTTTTTGTTTTTTGTCTCTATACACTATCTGGGGCTCCATTAGAGAGATTTACCCTTCTATCCTGCCCTGTTGACTACTGGAAGTGAGGGGAAAATCTGCAACAGGTACACAGGCAGAAATATTTGACAGGGGTTCCCTCCTTTCCCTATGCTACCAAAGAAAAGCATTTGTATTTCTGTGTTGCTGTTGGAGAGTTCCCTTGACCTCTGTCTGGTAAAATGTCAGCAGGGCGGGAAGGAAGAATATTTTTCTCTAAAGGTGCCGCAGATAGCAAAAACCTGACAGACCTAACCCTTCCCCACTCCACATGCAAAACGAAGAAAAAAAGTTTTTGACTGGGCATACGTTTTAACTTACCGTTTACAAGAAAATGGTCATAAGTCAATAACAATTTGATAAAGTCTTAACTGGCAATTTCACTTACATTTAATTTTTTTTCTCTTTTTTGTTCCTTTTTAGGCTGGAGATGAAGGTGTTCCAGTTTCAGTTATGCTTTGCATTCGGGCACTTCAGATATCATCAAGTGAAACTGATGCAACTAAGACTTCAGTTTGCAAAACAATAGCTTGTCTCTTACCACAAGACTTGGAGGTCAGACGAGCCTGCCAGCTCACAGAATTCTTGTTTGAGCCAACATCTGAAGGACTGAATATATTAGAGGAGCTCTATCTTCAGCCTGATCAAAAGAATGTTGAGGAATCTAGTGTTATTTCAAACTCTCTACGCTGTGAACTACTGCTAGCCTTGAAAAGTCATTGGTTGTTTGATCCCGAATTCTGGGATTGGAAGACAATAAAACGACACTGCCTTAAACTTCTTGGGAAAGATGTTTCTGATACAGAGGAGGAGAGCTATGTTGAACCTTCAATCAATGAACCTGATTTTTTGGATGCTTTGGCTGGCTATGATGATCACAATGCACAGGGGGAAGAAAGTCAAGAGTATACTTCCTACGAAAATGAAAATGTTAAAGTGAAAAAACCTGTTGGGTCTTCTGAAAGATACAAGCGGTGGCTGCAGTATAAATTTTACTGTGTAATTTGTGACCGAGAAGTAATTGAGGCAAGAATACTCCATCATGCTAAAATGCATCTCGAAGATGGCATTTATACATGTCCTGTGTGCGTGAAAAAGTTCAGAAAGAAAGAAGTGTTTGTTCCTCATGTAATGGATCATATGAAAATGCCAATGAGACATCGACCGAGAAAGAAAAATGAAATTCCGAAACAGGCAACTGTTGAGATTCCTGAGCCTGAGGCTGACCCCGATGGTTACATCTCATTCAGGGCACTAAGAGACAAAAATCTACAAGATAGAGATGTCTATCCATGTCCTGGAACTGACTGCTCGAGAGTCTTTAAGCAGTTTAAATATTTAAGTATACATCTGAAAGCAGAACACCAAAATAATGACGAAAATGCAAAACATTACTTGGACTTGAAAAATATGAGGGAAAAATGTGCTTATTGTCGTCGACATTTCATCACAAATTTTCACTTAAGACAGCACATGAGAATTCACATTGGTTCTCATCCGTTTATGTGTGTTTCTATAGACTGCAATGAAAGGTTTAAAACTGTAAATGAACTGCTTCACCACAAACACACACACTTGGACCTTCAATACAAGTGTGAATTGGAAGGGTGCCACTTGGTGTTCAGTGACTTGGGACTACTGTACCACCACGAAGCTCAGCATTTTCGAGATGCCGCATACACATGCACTTTTCCACGGTGCAAAAAGTTTTATTATTGTAAGTCTGACCTACAGGATCACATTACCATCCATTTAGCACATTCTGAGAACAGCTTTGGCAATGGGATGGAGTTATTCAACAACCTAAAAAATGAGGTGGGGGTTCCAGATAATTCATTTAATTACATGCCTGCACTTATGGAAAAAAACATATTGTCTTGTAAGGAAATAGAGCCTGTATCTGAAAATGTGGATGAGCAAAAGTTCGAAGTCAAAACCGAACCCTGCTTGCATCATGGAATGGGTCCAGACTGCACATTAACAAATGAATTAAAAGGTCAAACTGATACTGAAAAACTTGACACGTGCACTTGTGAAATGAGTGATTCAGCCAATGCCCTCAAACAGGAATGCCTATATAGTTCATTTGTTGAAGAACTGCCTGAAAAGCCACATGAAACTGAAAGTTTATGTAGTGTTACAAAGCCAAATGAAGTTCACATAAAACTTGAAGAAGAGGAGATTCCTACTTCTGAAGGCTTTACAACGTCTGCCAGTTCAGAGGACATAATGTTTGAACTTCTTACTAGTTTAAAACAGCTCAATTTAAAAAATGTGGATACGTGTGTTCAGGAAACTGTAGCGGATTCCTCTAATAGTTCTACAATAACACAAAAGAGAAGCACCAAGAAGCAAGAAAAGTTTCTCAACCAGTATCTTTCTCAATTGTCCTCCAAACCATTTTTGTGCGAGTTTAAGGGCTGCAAGTCTGCTTTTGTTACAAAAGCTGCCCTTTTATTGCATTATTGTAAAAAGCATGAATATACAAAAGAAAAGGCTCTTAAGCTGAGCATTTTCCAAAGAAGATATTCACCTTTTGAGTGCCACATCTGCCAAAGACGGTTTACAAGGCGAACTTTACTTCGCATTCATTATCGGAATGATCACCATGTAATGAAGGAAAAGGCAAGGACAAATGCTAAGAAATTTGATAAAAAAATGAAGCCACGCATTATGCATCAAAAGCGCAAAGGCTGCTGGGAGAAGCTTCTTACAAATGAGAGCAGCAGCCAAAGTAATGACAGAACATCTCCACTCCAAGAGGGTTTTAATTCCGAGACATATGCAGATTCGTTGTCAGATGAGACTGATGGCAGTAATACTCTTGGCGGTTTTAGACCTGATGATCTGGCGTCTGCAGAAGGGAGAGGAAGTAGGCGCGTTGTAGATAAAGATAAGTCATGTTATGTCTTGGATAAGTATCACAAGCCTTTTCACTGCATTCATAAATCTTGCAATGCTTCTTTTACAAGTCAGCGAGGCTTAGTTCGCCATTACCAGCTTGTACATCAGTATAACAGGGAGTCTTTATGCTTGGAAAAAGACAAGGAACTGAAAAAAAAGGAGACCAATAAATGCAGAAGGATATTTACTTGCAAGTACGAAGAATGCAGAAAAAGCTTCATTTGTGGTAAAGCATTGTCCACACATTACAAACAGTTTCATGATCATGGTGAAAATGAAGAGAAGGAGGTTGATGGTTTTGACAATGAAAACTTCTTGCAATCTGAAACTGATGAAGATGAAGAAAAATTTAGTGAGGAAAGTGAAAGTGACGAGTCTGAAATCTACTGTGACGTTGAGGGCTGCACTGCTGTGTTCAAAGATCATACAAACTATTCTCGACACATTATGACCCGTCACCGAAAATACAACCTTTATGAAAGTAGAAGAAAGCGTAAGAAAAAAGCCCAGGAAGTGGATGAAAACTATATTGAGCCCAAGCACCACAAAAGTTTGTTTCAAAGGAAATCTGTAAAGATTCAAAATAGTGCTGGAAAAAAAGAGGTGATTGAATTTAAAACCAGAAAAGAAGCATTACAGATGTGCTCCAAAAATATTGACTCGGCACAGTTTCCTTGTATGCTCCATGGCTGCTCTTCAGTTGTAAAGTTGGAAAGTAGTATTATTCGGCATTACAAGCTTACACACCACCTAGGTACTGACTATGTGGGCAATCATACCCATGAACTGGTTTACTGCATAAAAAACTTTTCTAAGGACACGGAAGAATACAGTTCACCCGAAGAAGGTCCTAAAGGCAGCGATCACATTCAGGATCATAAAATAACCAGATTAAGTTTACGTAGTAGTAATATTGGCACATCAAATGAGAGTGACTCTTACAATACTTCCAATAGTGACCGCAGAAAAAATGGCTCTGTGGAGAGAGACTTTTATGGCACATCACCACATCATAATAAAATCTCTAACGTTAAGGAATCTGAGGTGAGGTCTCCTAACCGGAGAAATGATGATAGAACTTCAAAATCTAGTGGAAAAGAAAATATCTCCAGTTTCTATACAGGGGACAAAGAGGTAAATCATGAAGGAGTTAATCTCCAAGATCCACCCGAATCTGACTTGCTTGATTCCAAAAAATACAGTCCACAAGAGCAAGTACAAGCAGCCATTGGACTAACGAACTTTAAGCCAATGGGCTTTGAATCCTCTTTTTTAAAGTTTCTGCAGGAAAATCGAAATTCAGACGAAGATGACGACGATGAATCCGAGTCTGATGAATGGAATTTTCCACAAAAAAGAAGACGCCAAAATTCTGTACAGAGTCGAAAAAGATCCTGCAAAGATCGAAATGAGCGTGAAATATGCTTGTCCTTGGGTAAAACTGCGTCTTCAGAACCTACGTTAGAAAATTTAAGGACAATGTTGGACAAAGCATTGACAGATTGTGGTGACTTAGCTTTAAAACAACTGCACCAGCTCTATCAAAAACCTGTTGTTGTTCTGGAGCGATCAGACTTCACAGCACCTCTATTAGACTTGTTCTCTAGCAAAAAAACTGATCAATTGTGTGTGGGCATTTCATGAAATAAGCCTGCTCTTAGCATTTTGCCAGTATTAATTTTGAGAGACTTGATTCAAGTAACACAGAAGACTTGCTCATAAATATGAGGGGTTACCATGTAGACATTTTGTGCAATTAGATGTAACATTTCATGAATGTACTTATATCTGTGTTCACAATATATTTGGTTTATCTTCCCAGCAGAAAACTGTACTTGGTGCTAGGTCATCAGTATAACGGGGCTTCCTTTGACAATAAATGTGCATGATTGTCTGGGATTGTGGGATTTAAAAGATTTTCATACTTGAATGAATATGCACTTAAGAGTGCGCTATGTAATATATTGTACACTACGTCTTATATTTTTTGAGTTATGTTTCAATAAATGACAAACTTTCACCCGTTTTGATGGAGCATTCCAACTTTTTAAAATTATATTTTTTTACTATGGCATAAGGCTTTACTTTTATTTTATTTTTTGCAAGATTTCACAATTTTTTTTTTTTTTAATTTTTATCCTTTCTTAAATGTTAAGTGATTTAGAAAGGTCTGCATTTTCTGCACTAAGTGTAGGTTTAGTATGTCATTTTTTATTTTCATATTCTGTTTTAAGTAGAACATTGAAGTAATTTGACAGTTCTTTTGATGCACTGCAGACATTAATAAATATGTTTTTTCAGATAATACAGTTTTAAAATGTGATTTTATTTTTTACCCCTTGTATTTGAAATCTGTTGTAGCTTAAGATGCAAGATTCTTGTTAATGCCATTTCTACTTTTTTAGGTGTAGGCCAGTTTTGCTTGTGTATAAATCTAAAGTTGCAGGACTTCCCACATTTACTAATAAAATGGTAGCGGGTTTGTTAGCACTGCTTATGCTGGTTTGTGAAAAACAAAACACTGGATGAAGATATGACTGATGATACTTTTCACTTGATCAGTGTGTTTTATCTAGGTTCTCTTTGAATTGCACAATAGGGCATACATTATTGTTCCACAATTAAATGCAATATACTACCATATGTAACAGTGTCTGAACATTCATGTATCATACAAATTGATTTTTGTGGTGGTGGTGGAGGGGGCTTTTTGTTTACATATCTGAGAATTTTGCCACACTTTCAATGTTAACCACTGTTTTTCTGCAGTGATAATTTTCTTTCAGGAGTAATCTCACCATTTACTGGCTTGTTCATTTGTGTTTGGTTTTTTTTGTACTACAGCCAAGCATGTTTTAACTGACCTGTAGGGTGTATGTCAATTCCAATAAGATTCAGTGCAACTTTTATGTTTGCTGATATTTGCAAGACTACGGCCATAGCAGTTGTCTCTTGCATGCTCTTGAAACCTGTATATATATCTCAATGTTACTATTTTTATACCTGTTTAACCAGTTGACATCCGCGGTGTTAAACCCCCTTCCCATCCAGGCCATTTTTCAGTATTCAGCGCTGCGGTACTTTGACTGACATTTATTCCGTCATGCAGCGCTGTACTGAAATGATATTGCAACATTTTTTGTTTAATCTGACTTGGTTTTACCATACAAATGGAAATAGTACATTACATATTAAAAAAGAGAATATGGAATTCCACATGGATAGTAACATGTTTACACATTATTTACATGAGCAAAAGTTCAATGTTGGGCCTAGGGCTGTTCAGATACCAAGTACAGATACTTTTCCAGCTTCAAGACTAAACTAGAGAAAAACTCAAAAGTTAGGAGGCAGTTGTCATTTTTAAGGAGCATTGGCTACAGTGCTGCTGGGATTTGTACATCCCTGTTTTATTGTATGATTAGATAGATCTATCAGGGATATACCGAGACACCAAGTACCAATACTTGTCCAAGTACTCACAGATACCAATTTGTGATACGTTTTTGTTTAGTGTCAAGCAATACAGACTAATGATTCCAAGACCCTGGTAGTTGTGAAAACGCCAAGTATCTGCACATCCCTATTCGGGCCACATGTATGTTTTCACAGGTGATCTGTGCAAAAGGTTTAGAAGCTTCTTTTTTTTTTCTTAATGGTACATTACAGGACACCGGATCTGTGTCTTAGACCATGGCTTACATGCAGCTGCCTTCAGGTGATTTGACACTGGCAAACAAAGCCAAAAGGACAGCTATAAAATAACGCTTTCAACACTAACAAGCCTCAGGTTTTGCTTGTATCCTTAGGCCATTAGATGTCCTCTCTCTGTCCTTAGAGAAGCAAACCCCTTTCTTCTTTTTTGTTATTTTCATCAAGACCGTACTAGTAAGATTGTCTAGCTACTGCAAAGTGACTGCAGCTCCCTTTTCTGCAGCTTTCTGGGTCAGACTCCTCAACTGGGCTCTCGGGGACTGCCGCCAGTGTTGTCAGGAAGATTGTGCGGCTGGCCTGTAATTTTGGTTTGGGCACTGGATCCTGTTAGGCACTTACCTAGGCCTGTTGTGCAGCATATTGGTCAGACTGCTGTACAGGTAAAGAGCTGTGATCCATCAGCTGGTGGAACCCTATCCTTGAAGACCTTTTAGGGGATGAGGCCACAGGCATGGTAGAGGTTTGGATGGGGCTTGGTAGAATTGGCAAAAAATGCCTCATTAGGATGCCCTTTTATGAGGAAATGCCTCTTTGGTGACTTCTAAGAACACCTACATCTATAAGGTCATGGGAGGGAAGAGTACCATTTTACTCCTGGGGCGAGACTCACTCCACTTGTTAGAGTTGGAAGCCTGTCAGGTTTTTGCAGCCATCTGGTCCCAGGACATCTTGGGCCAGAAATTGTCTAGGGGCAAGCATTTCGGTCTCTGCTCCACCCTTCTTCATGATTGTCAAATTTCCAAGCCTCCCTGCAAAGGCTGGCAGATCTTCACTTTGCTTCCCGGTAGCTTCTCTCGCAGTGGGTCGTAGTTGCTGTTCTAGAGGAGGAAAGTTTCAGGATTTCCACCCAAACCTATTCAGAATCTCACAAGGCAAATGGAAGCATTGGACCAATTCTGGATCTAAAGATTCGCAACATGTTCTTCCACATTTAAAAATTCCACATATAATCTGCCAAGTCAGTTGTTGCTTCCCTTTTATCTGAGGGATCTTTTGGCAGCTGTGGACATAAAGCATACCTACGTGCACATTCCTGTTTTCCCACCACATCAGCGCTACTCGTGTTTTGCTGCGGACATACATTACCAATTTGTTGCCCTATCCACATCAATGCATGTCTTCACCAAGGTGCTAACTCCAGTCCTAGCTTTCCTTTGCTCTCAGGTTATCCCCATCATTCAGATACCTATATGATGATCTACTAAAGACCAATCAGTCCCGACTCTGTCAGCAAATGTCCAATGAACAGTGCAGACCCTGCAGAGATGCAGATAGTCTAAATTTCAAGAAAGCGGCCCTGGATCTGACTTCGCATCTGGAGGAGTATTGAGGCCTAATCTTGGAAAGGGCCCTGTGCAGGATATTCCTTTCCTCTAGACATGTTCCTGCCTCTCTGCTCTTATGTTTGTGTCCTACATTCCAGGAACCAATTGACCATTCACTTTTGATTCTGGGACTAATTACCCTCCAGAGACAGTACCTTACACCTACTTTTTCTCCAGACCGTTGCAACTCAACATTCTAGTGCCCTGGTGAAAGCAGACTTAGTCTCTGGATAGCCACATACACCTGTCCAGTAAAACCAGGCTCACCCTGGCACCTTGGATTTCTGATATGGCACTGGAATCAGGGAAATGTTTCTCCCTGTGACCTGCAAGGTGTGTACTATGGATGTAGAAATAAGCTTCCTCTCCGCTGGAACTCGAATTCTAGCGTCCTCAGCCCAAACCTGCCTAATTATTGTTTGGAACCAATATATTAGGACAGAAAACAACTCCAAAAATAAAGATTTACCCCAAACATCAGAGAACACCAATGTTGAAGTAAAAACAGGAAAGGACTTTATTAAAAACCAGCACAGTATTTATACAGTTTTGGTAGTCCAAAAACAACGCAATCAAAACATCAAGTAAACAATTCCCTCCCCAGTGCCTTAATGAAAGAATATTGAGAGGGAATACAAATAGGATGGGGTTATCTCCTGACTAAGAGTCGGCTACATCTAGAATCAGCTATGTTAATCCCATCATTCACGAACTGAAACAAAAGGACTGTAACCAGTTCTTTTGGAAGTCCAGAATTAACCCCTTGCAGAGCTGCTGGATTCACATCCTGTACCTATAATGGGCACAGGGTGCAGCATATCCACTCCACACATAAATGAGAATTTTTTTCTTGTAACCCCAAGAGATCCGAGGGGGGTCTCCCATAGTCCTAGGTTAAAGCCGCGGTCCAGTGGGAGTTGCCTCTTCCTAATTGGTTAAAGCCTTTGCTGGTCTGGACACCACTGGTTCTATCTGCCCTTCAGAAGCCTCCTTTGTGAACCCAGTAGGCATTTTTCCCTGTCTAGCCTTACTCAAAACATTGCCTTCCTTGTTGCTATTACCTCTATGAGCCAAGTCTCTGAGTTAGCAGCCTTATCCTGTAAAAAGCCCTTCCTAGTGTTACACAGGGATAAGTTTGTCTTGAGGTCTAGGGCCTCCTTTCCTTCTTCCACTTTCACTATGACATTGTTCTTCCCTGTGTCCAGCTCTGAAATATTCTAGGGAGATTTGTCTCCACTGGATCTGGTGCACATACAGTCTACCTCCCAGCTATAGCTTCTTTTAAACAGACAGCTTTGTTCTGTCATCCCTGCCTCTTGTTCGACTACTGCCAGGTAGATTAGACCTATCATTTGAGCCTATATTCTAGAAGGATAAGTTTCTACCCTTACTTGTAAAGACACAATGAACCAGAGCCGTTAGTGCTTCATGGGCTTAGCTGACGCCCGTTTGAGATGTAAGGTCTTCAAGCTGCTCTCTGAGCTTATCGCGCTTTTTTTGACCCGTTTGTTACATGGGCTTGTTAGCAGTGTTGCTACTCCTCAGTTGGACTGCTTTTGGACATCTCTGATCCATTGCCCTGTAATATAGCGTTTTTGTCTTACCTGTAAAATCCTTCTTGGAGTACATTACATGAAATCCCTTCTTCTTAAAATATGCCTGGAGTGGAAGGGGTTATATTAGGGCTGTCCTTTACAGCTTTGTTTATCAGTTTCCATTATTAAATTACAGATTTTAGAATAATTAACTTTTAAAGTGCCAAAGCTTTTGAATTGACTCATAATGGATGCATATAGTATATTTAATATTTTCTTGTTGCATAATGCTGTAGCCTAAATTTAACACTGCTGACCTGCTAGAGAATGGGCAGTGGGGGACTTATGCCCCCATACCTTGAAGAAAACTGCTTCAAACCCATAGAACATTATATATTTTCTGAAATCTGAGACCCTGTAGAATAAACAATATAAAACCCATAGAACATTATATCTTTTCTGAAATCTGAGACCCTGTAGAATAAACAATATAAAACAGAAGTCACTAACTTGCGCAACTAGATCTGTTGGTTATGGACTGTATATTGATAGTCTTAAAGAAGCTCCAGTTATACTGATGGTTAATCCAGAGATGATGTATGTACTAATCCTGTAGCCCGGTTAGTTGGATAGGGATACATCCATGTAATAGCACTGTGAAGGAAACAACCCGGCACACAGATCTAAGTGCAGTATAAAAGTAACTGTTTAATAAAAGGTAAAAAGTGATGTACAGGATATTTAAAAAAATAAAAATCTCTTCCTCAGTTGATGTTGGACAGGTGAGATTTTTTAAATATCAAGTACATTACTGTTTTTACCTTTTTTATTAAACAGTTGCCTTTATACTGCACTTAGATCTGTGTACCAGGTTTTTGTTTTCTTTACAGTAGAATAAACTGTTGGCTTCATTTTTTTTTTTTTTTGGTCACATATTTTTAGGAAACATGCGCTAAAATTAATTTTAGTGCACACAAACACAATAGAATCCTTTTTTTTTGTAAAATTTATAAGATGGGTTGCATCAGGTAAACCTCACAAATGAGCAAGCTCGTTAAAT